ATATCTAATAATATAAGATACCTTTAATTTATGGTAAATGTTCATTTTAAATGCAGGCCTATCACATAAATAAAAGGATTGATGGATGAATTTAAGAACTTAAATTGAAAGAAATGGCTAAACTTCGAAAAGAGATGTTGGTGCAATCCAAACCGGAACACTGTTCGGTAATTGGGTCATATCTGGAGCTATAGATCTCAAATTTAGGTCTACTTTATATGGATGGAAAGGTAAGACATAGGCCTATAACTTTCATATGGAGCCCAAGATCTAAAAATGTCATTTTCAAGTCCAAATTGTTGCAACAACAAAGAAGTCCGAATCTGTCCTCCAGCCCGAGCACTGTTTAGTATTTTGGCCATATCTGGAGTTCTAGAACTCGAAATGAACTGAAGTTTTTACACAAGAAAGCTGAGACAATTGCCTACAACTTTCATGTTTTCAAGTGGCTCCATTTTTTACGTTTTGGGCAGAAAAGAGAAGATAAGGATTGTCACCAAGTCAAGAGTTGGCCACCCACTCATCAATTAGTCATCAAATCAATAGGTCCCAATTTTGGCCTATAAAAGGAGGCATTTGCCATGCATTTAGGCATCTTGGTTTCCAGATCAAGATCATGCTCTTCCTTTCTCTTTTTGTATTTTTTGTAATGTTTATGCTTTGCTTTCATTAATATCAAGTTTATGCCTTTCATTTCCTTTCATTTACTTAGCTAATTCTTATTTTGTTTATTTATTTTTCTTTCTTTTATTATGTCTAACTAAGTTTATTATGTCAAGGTGAAAAAGTTACACTAATGGTGTAAGAATAAGTATAGTGTAAACTCAATATGGACTTTAATGTTTGATACTAACATGTTTTATATTTGTTATCTTGTTCACTCTTTAATACTTTGCTTGTTAAATGATTAATCTTGATTTATATTGTATAACACTTAGTACAACAAATGCTTGGCACTCTCATAGCCCATACTGTATGGTATAACCGACAACTGAGCTATGAAAGGAACTTGATTTGTTGTTAACATAAGTTATAATCATGAATGCTTGACGAGATTTACAAGTACTAGCATTAATTGAATAAGATGACTAATGTAATCATGTTAACAATCTATAATCTGATTGGAACCTCCTTTGTGTGTGGTTTCCAGTTGAATAATAAGAGTTTATACTATACTTGTTTGACATACCATTAGTGGAACCTCTAACCTTGACATTCGTTATTATTATTGTTTAATCCTTACATTAATTTTCCATCTCCAAGTTCTCATCATCATCTTCTTCTTCTCTTTCTTTATTATTATTATTATTATTAGTACTATTATTATTATTGTTGTTGTTGTTGTTGTTGTTATTGTTCTTGTTGTTGTTGTTATTGTTCTTGTTGTTGTTGTTGTTATTATTATTGTTATTATTGTTATTGTTGTTGTTATTATTATTATTGTTGTTGTACTATTGTCGTTTATAATTTGTACAATTAACCTCCCTGTGGTTCGACCCCAGTCTTGCCGGGTTATTTATTACTTCGACACTCCTGCACTTGGGAGAAGATATTAATCTTTTAGTCGTGTCACTTTCCACGTGCCTTTTATATGCAGTTACCTCTCCACACAGAGGACAAATTGCCTCACATGTAGATCATCTTCTTCACCCAAAAACCCATATTCATGTCTAGTGAAATCGTTCTAGTTAAGACCTAACCCATCCACATTAACTACTAGGTCAATGTCATGCTACCACTATATGGTTTTCACACCATCTTTATAGTTCAATCATCATGACACATTAACATACACGCCATCAACCATGTTGATAAACAGGTCCCATCATCCAAAATATTGGTAGAGGAGAGCATATCAATATAGTTAATCCTACATGTAATCAAATTATTTTGCTTAATCTAAGTCATTCATCAAGTCAGATTTCTTTTGATAAAATCAGAGCTGTTTAAAATACAACTTAGATGATTTCAGATTTGTTTATAACTATTTTGATAATTTTATATGCAATCACTATTTTTGATTATCCATATTCAAAATCAATGCTAGATCACACTTTGAGAAATGGTTACCTAAATAAGGAGCAATATAATGTCATCTTGGTGAATAATGATGTTCACACGAAAGCAATGGATTTGGAGAATAAGTAATAGTTGTTGGAATAAAAAAAAAAGTTAGATAAATTAGTTATGAATGTATTTGAAATCATCTAAATCACATTTCAAACAACTATGATAGTCCAAATCTAGAATTGATGGTGGATCACACTCTAAAAAAAGATTAACTAGATATAGAGAAATTTAACATCATTTTGGTGAATGATAATATTTAAGAAGAAGAAATACTTTGAAGAATAAATAGTGTTTGTTGGAATCAAAATGTTTGATGGCACAAACTTTGAATTATATTTTGCTAACAAATAATAGTGATGCAAAGAGCTTATGAGTTGAATTTTTTAATAAGGGGATTCAATTGAAAAACCTAGCCTTATCAAAGATAATTTGACATGGCTTTATACCTTATGAAAAAGGTAGAATTAGGTGCTCTAGGTATCTTAAAGTGTGGAAAGATTTAGGTGGAGAAATAAGATGTAGGGCTAGTAAAACAAATAATAACGAGTTTGGGATAAAATGAAGTAATAATAAAGCTGTTAGATGTTGAGGTCTTGATATGAACACCAAAAACTCAGTAAAGATCTCTTGAAAAAGTGTTACAAACAACAAAAGTGAAATTTATATGATTGTTGTATGTCAACAATGCTTATAAGGGTGACAAAATGTTTCTTACACAATAATAATGAATAAGAAATCAAATGAGAGTTGGTGCTAGATACTACTCCATATATGCATGTGCAGGTTGAGGGGAGGATGCTTATGAAACTGCCAAAAAAAGTTTCACCTAAGTTTGTGCTTATAAGTTTTTAGAGATATGGTAGAAAATGGAAGAAGTTTCTGGTGGGTATGGTTTTTGAGTGGGAGAATGAGAGAAAATTAATGGTTCGATGAAGCACAAGTTGCAAAATATGAAGAGTATTGTTGATTGATTTTCATGGTTATTGCTTCCATGGTAAAGTTAAGAGGTGGCTAAACTCTTAGATGAAGAGATAATGACTTATTGAGTGAATAGTAAAACATGACTCTTTAGTAGAAGTAAGATACACATAGTCTTGGATAAGTAAGATCCTACAAGAGAGTGATGAGCTTTTAATGATATTGTAGTACTGGAACACTGAATACTACACTTATATTATCAAATATTTTTGTATAAAAAAACTTATGATTGAATGGTGAGACTCAGGTAAGGAAGAGATTTCACAAAGTTATCAAAGAAAATACAACCTATATGAAACATAAAGATGTATAATGAGCACACTACCTAAAGACATAAATAACACTAGCCATCCAGATATAAAATGATAAATGAGCTACTAAAATCAAGTGAGAATTAGCCCATAAAGGATGAGGAGCTGAAGTTGCGTCATTATCTCCAAGTGATAGATCATCAAGTGTGGAGATAAACTCAAAGAAATGCAAGCTACAATGAGCAGGAACAAGGCTGAAGTAGGATGAAATAGAGGGATGGGGAACTGAAGTTGCGTCATTTATCTCCAAGTGATAGATTATCAAGTGTGGAGATAAACTCAAAGAAATGCAAGCTACAATGAGTAGGAACAAGGCTGAAGTGGGATGAAATAGAGGGACGGGGAACTGAAGTTGTGCCATTTATCTCCAAGTGATAGAGAATTAAGTGCGAAGACTATTCAACGTGGAGACAAACTCATACGTACAAATGGCTGCTACAACGAGTAGGAACAAGGGCATAGAGAGATGAAATGGAGGTTTGAAAGTAGTCAGAAATGGGCTGGAATAAAGGTTGTTTATTTTTCATTTATTGGCCATAATTAAGGCTGGAAATAAAGAGGTTTGTTCACCCATTTTCAGCTATAAATAGTGACCATTAGTAACAGTAAGATAGAGGTAGCGGAAGTAGCTTACAGCAAGAAGCAGAGTAGTGAAAGATAGAGAGAAATATGAGACAATTATATATTTATATAATAAAATTGAATTCTCCATGAAAGAGGTAATTATAGAACCCTGGTAAAATTATGTCCCTTGTTTTTGGATACCTCAAGTTATAATAATGTATATGTGCAGACAAACAATATCATGATGAATTAATATATTATTATAACAGTAAAAATAAATAAATATATCAAGTTTTTAATTATCAAGTCAATGATGATTTTTTTATGCAGTTTGCCTATCAAATAATTATCTATATAATTATTTGACCTGTGGGATTCATTTTACTCAATTAAAAATAAGAAAGCTAAGTTAACTAATTTAAATTAACTTAAAAGGGCAAATTATGTGTTTAGACATTTTTTCTAGTTTTATTTTGCGTTATTTTATTTTCCAGTTCTTGTTTTATTTAACAAGTTTGTTTGAAAATATGGTGTAAATTGTGTTTTTTTACATTTAAAATTTGTTTTTATTAATTTTTTTATATTTTTAGATTATTTTGATTTGTTAATTTTAAAATTATTTTTTTAAAATAAATTATTTAAATATATTTTTAAATAAAATATACTTTTCATCACAACTAATAATATAATTCTAACTATTCAGATTGGCTGGTATTACGAAAGCAAAACTGTGGTCGACTATATATATATATATATATATATAAAGAGAGAAAGAATTAAAAAACAAGCTTGTAACTCAACTCGGCTCTAGATGTTGTTTGAAGATTTATTTATTTATTTATTTTTAAATAAATTCAATTTTAATCAAGTTATGCTACAAGTTTTTTTTTTTTTTTAAAAAAAATCTAGCTGGAGTTTAATAATTATGGCAGTAGCAACCCCAGATCAATACAAAATTTAAAGCCATGGGCTCAAAGTGGCAAAAGTTGTAAAAAGAGCCTTCATGCAGATTCAACAACCCATTAAAAAATAGTTGGGTATGTCTCTTGGTTTTTTTTTTTTTTAATTTATTTATTTTGTCTCTTATCAACTCCTCCTCCTCCTCCTATCCATTCCCCAGCCTCCTTTATCTGTCACCACATGTCTGTACATGCAAAAGAGTAAAAGCTCTCTGTCTCACTCATAATAATAATAATAATAATAATACAAAAGGAAACAATTAATTTAAAACAAGCCATCAAAAACCGAGAAAGAAGAGCAGAAGAAGAAGAAGATGCTATCGAAGGAGTCAGGTGGTTCCGCCTTCGATCTTCCCGAGGATGTCTTGCAAGTCTTGCCGTCTGATCCATTCCAACAACTCGATGTGGCCCGCAAGATCACTTCTATTGCCCTCTCTACACGTGTCTCTGCTCTTGAATCCGAGTCCTCCCTTCTTCGCGCCAAGCTCGCCGAGAAAGACGACTTCATTGCCCACCTCCAGGCTCAGATCGAGTCTCTCGATTCTTCTCTCTCCGACTCCTCCGATAAGCTCTCCCGGGCTACACAAGAGAAGGTCCGACCCCCGTTTCTTCACCCGGTTTGTTTGGATTTTATTGTTGGTGTTGACTCTCTTTACCTTGACGTTGTTGTTTAGGACAATTTGTTGAAAGAGAATGCGTCGTTGTATAACACTGTTAAGAAGCTTCAGAGAGATGTTTCTAAGGTAATTAAGTTACAGCTTTGCTTAATTGCAGATTTTTGTTACTCCTTAAACTAATCCAGCTTTACATAATTTGGTAATTAGTTTAACGAAATTGGCTGGCTATAATTGCGTCTAAATTATCATTATTGTATTATATTATATTATACATACACTTTACCATTTTTTTTTTTTTTACTATAGTAGGGGTGCATTGTTGTCAGAATTGTAATTTTCTTTTTCTTTTTTAATTTTTATATATTTTTATTATTTTATACTTGTCTAATTATCATTATTTTTTTATTTTTTAACACTTTCTTGAGTTTTTCTTTACATTGTTTTTCAAAAAAAATATTTTTATTTTTATTTTTTGTACTTTAAATATTTATCATATTACACTTATCTTATTTATATTATTTTTTTAGTCTTATTTTTATTTTTTTATAATTTCTTTTTGTTTATATATTTTTTTAAAAAATATCATGCAGAAATTTAGAAAATCATGTTTCATTACAGTAATTCGTAATTCCCTTGTTATATTAAAAATTAGTTTGAGGTTTTATATGTTTTTATTAATATATATGATTTTTACTATATTTACAGTTATATTTTTTACTCAATGTTAAAAAACATATCAATAACATATATTAATTTTTTTGTGTTAAAAAAATTATTGGATCTACAATGACGAGTAAACATGTTAACTTTTTATTTTTTATATTTATTAGCATATATGGTTTTCATTGCATTTAGTTAAATGCATCTATTTTTTTAATCAAAAATATATTTGAAAAGTTTGTATATTTATTTTTTTCACTAAAAAACATTATTCAACCTGCCGCGAAGTGTAACGAATATGAGCTTTGCATTCTTTTTAAAATGATAAAAAGCACTGCCGAAGAATAGTATTTGCTAGATAAATCATGAATGCCCAGGTTAGGGTGTGGATTATCTGCCTAAGACCGGAATTTGAAGGGGTTGGATTTAATTTTTTTGAATGTGTGCAGCTGGAAGTGTTTAGGAAGACGCTTGTGCAGTCACTTAAAGAGGATGAAGAAAGTTCGGTAAGTTATCCTACGGATTTCTTTTGGATGATGAATAATGTTTTATCTTTGCTCCTTCAAGAAAACTGTTGTGAAATAATGTATGGAGGTTTTAGGGTGATGTTGATCTGGTTTTGTGGCAGGCAGGAGCTCCACAGATCATTGCCAAGCCTACACCAAATGGTATGTGTTTTACTATTTGTTGATGAATTCAAGGCCTTTAAGATGCTTTCCTTTACTACTGGAGTTCTGCTTACAATAGGATAAGCATCTCATTTCGGGGTTTCTATGATGGTTTATTAATGGCATACTTGGCCTGTGCTTTTAAAAAAAATGCTTGTATATTGTGTAAAATGTTTGATTAAACATTCTGATTACTTTAGACGTCGCAGTTTCTACATTGATTTGTCTCACAGGACGAAAATAGAATTGCCTGGAGGTTTATGGTCACCAATTTTGTGATGAGTTGTTCTTATTGTACGAAGGAGAAAGTTGGTCTGGCAGTATTTGACTTGTCATTTTTTTTCTTAATTTGTTTCAGAAGATGATGCCACCCTGCCACCTTCAAGATATTCTTCACTACAAAGCAAGATTTCAGAAATGGGAAACTCATTTGCAGAGGATCGGGAGACAGATGGTATGCCACAAGTTTGTGGTTTTAAGCTTGTTTCTTAACACAAGCCCACCAGACTTAATTTCTAATCCAGTACTTACGTTACTTCATGTTGTTATTTTCATGGCAGCTCCAAGACCTGGCATATCACAGATTCTGCTAGCATCCCAAACAAACACACCCCGGTTTACTCCTCCAGGCTCCCCTCCTAGTTTTTCTGCTTCCGTGTCTCCCACAAGGACGTCTAAACCAGTGTCTCCAAAACGACAATCAATGTCATTCTCTATCACAAGAAGCATGGACGATAGATCCTCCGCCTTCTCTTCTCTGTCCTCGAGCCAGCATAGTTCTATGTCAAGTGACGTAGGATCACAAGCTGGTTAGCTCTAAAACTTCATTTTAGAATAAAGTTTATGCAGAATTTGATTGATACAGATGCCAGATCTCTTATGCCTTGGATACCATGTCAAATGGCCAGTTACTATGATTTGAACCCCGTACTTTTAAAGCTCTTTGAACTTAATGACTCAGAGTTGCAATTTTTTCCGGGAAATGAAAGGAAGCAATGGGATTAGTTGAAAAAAATGAATCAGTGATGACTGTATATGTCTTCAATGGATTCTGAACAGCTTGAATATATGAATTCAAGCAACTTGTTTTACATTTGATGTCACATAATGAGAACGAAACAATTATGCCTAAAAATTTTCTCTTTCTTTGTTAATTATAAATCATGTAATCGGTGATTTAAAGTAAGCCATATTTTAAGTCTTTCCTTGAGACAAAGATGGAGATGGATTGATTAGTGTAGATTTTGCTTTTTTGGCGATGGTTTTCATATTTGTTCCCGGATAAGGTTAACAATACAATGCATGTACGCATACCTTTCAATATTTTTTTTTTTGGAGAACAGCCATAGACAATGGATGAATTTTTTTATGAGCCTACCTAAAACTGTTTTGGGATTTTTCATGTAATTTATTACGTCATTTTATTAGTTCTTGTGTTTGCATGGTTCAGGACGAACTCGAGTTGATGGCAAAGAATTCTTCCGTCAAGTCAGGTGAGTTTTCACTGGGAAAAAACTTTAATCGTTGCACAATTAATAAAATCTGCAGCATTGAATTACATCATAATCAATACCCATGCAAATTTAGTTTTATAAATCTGGGTAGCGTTCTTTCTTCAAATGCAATTTCTTCTTTTGTTGATCAGGACCCGCCTGTCTTACGAGCAGTTTGGTGCTTTTTTGGCAAACGTTAAGGAATTGAACTCCCACAAGCAAACGAAAGAGGTAAATTTCTCAACCACCCTCTCCATCTGTTGTTAACAACTTCACTTGATAGCAGTTTTCTTCCATGACTTTCTGTAAAATCTCAGGAGACCCTAAGGAAGGCAGAGGAAATTTTTGGTCCAGATAACAAGGATCTTTACACGATATTCGAGGGATTGATCACTCGCAATGTTCACTGAATATATTTCGCCATAACTGTATCCAAAGCCTGCAAGCACTGGTTTTACAACTTTGCACTCTCGTTGTAAATTATTTTTTTCAAGTGGAGACTTTTCTTCGGTACTCTTCAATTTGATATTCTTATGGTGTCGAAACAGTTGAGTAAAATAAACTTACGAATGGCCTGTCCACAATGAATTGTACAATAAAATTATACCAGGAAGGAGAGTTCTTTTCTTCTTCTTTTTTGCCGCAAATGTCGAAGATCTTGTGTGTATGTTCTTCTGGTTGCTTGCATTCCATCTCTTTATCGATAACAGATTCAGCAGCAGCTCCGTCACTATTGAACTTTGTTGCAATATCTGGTCCGCATGCATGATTCCTCTCATCATGAAGGAGCATGATCAGGTAGGCCTATTCATTTTATTTTTGAATTGCCATGATCTTCCCTCCGTGGAAAATGGTGGTTATGGAGTACAGTAGAGAAGCATCACGGGCATGGAAATTTTTTAGTGTGTTTGATATTATAATAGCTTTTATAATTATTGTTTTAAAAAAATTATTTTATAAATAATATTTTTGGTTGAGGTTGGTTTTGTATTTATATATGTTTAATTAAAACTATGATTAAAATTAAATTTGAATAAAAAGTAGTTTAACGTGTTTCATTAAATATGTTTTTTAAATTGAAGTTATAAGATAATTAAAAAGATGTATATTAATATTAATGATTTTTAATTTAAATATTATAAATTTAACTATCATTATTATATAATTAAATAAATAATATTTTTTTTATTATTTTATTAACTTATTTACAATTTCATCATATATAAAATTCATCTGATAAGGATTATAATTTTTATAATTTTTGGATTGTGTAATAAAATTAGGTGAAATATTATCAAAAATAAAATTAAAATTGTGATTAAATTTTATAAATGCTATGTTATTATATAGTATTTTTTAAATTTATATAGTGTTATTAGATAATATTACACACTAGTTTTTTAAGTAAAATATAATTAAAAAAATAATTTATTTTTATTTGGTTGAACACGGTTAATAAACAATGAATCGTGGCACTGTTTTCACGAACAGTAATCAAATAAATTTAATTTATCTAGCAGACATGAGAAGAAGCTCTCTCCGTGGGAACGGTGATTTCATCCCAAAACACATGTATCCCACACAAACAGTCAAATACTTTTTAGTGTTACCAAACATAATGTTCATGTTCATGTGGTTTGTTTTAAAAATTATAGCTCCCGCATAAACAAACGTTTTCTTAGTGTAGTTACGACACGTAATAAGAAGATAGATTATAACTGAACCATCTAGGTGGTGGCCAAATGGTGAAAACTTGGGACTAAGGGGTTTGCTTCCACTGTGGTTTCAAGTTCGAGTCCTTGGTTGCTCATATGATGGCCACTAGAGGCTTACATGGTCGTTAACTTCAGGGCCCGTGAGATTAGTCGTGGTGCGCGCAAGCTGGTCCGGACACCCACGTTAATCTAAAAAAAAAAAAAAAAAAAGATAGATTATAACTGTCTGTAATTCCAGGATTAAGGAGGAAATTGTGTACTTTTGTCATAAAAAAATGAAAATAATGGAATGCCTATGCAATTTTTTTATTCATTCATTAAAAAGCCTATGAATCTTCGGCTTGATTGAGAAACCCTGATTACGAGATCGAGATAGATCTATAATGCAGTGGGAGTACAAGTTTTGCTGCAAGATAGGCATTTGACAACCCGAAGGAAGGCTTTCAGGTAATGCGTTGCTTGTGGTGTGCGCTATCCAGCGCAGAAAACATCAATCTCCAGATAATTTATGATCTTCTCTTCAGTTTTTCATTTTCATTTATATGTTTATTTTCCTTAATTCCTCCTGTTTCTGTTCTCTTAGCTTCAAATGATGCTACCAAGTTAGTATCTTATTTTCTTAGCTCCAATACATGTTTTTCTTTTCTTCCCCTTTTATTTTATGATTGGTGTGTTCTTGGGCCAGTTTGCTTGTTAATCAAGACTAGGAATCTTTCCATATAATTTCAAGGGTGTGCCTTTCCCTCCGCTATGATGTATTTCGAAGATTTTGATAAATTCTCTCTTAAGATTTGAATTTATAAAAGTACAAAAAAGGGTTTTAGCACATTGTTTTTACACGGCAACGTGATTTAATTATCTTAGAAGCATTGTAAACTGATTTAATTATAAAAGTATCTTAAGATGTCATCCAAGGGTGTTTTTGTTTTTTCATGAAGGTTTTTGTTATTATTGTTATAATTAGGAGTTATTTAATAGTTTAATAAATATAAATATTATTAAAAAACAATTATATGTATATTTATGTTTTTGTGCGAGCAATGCTGTTTGTTAACCAAACACAGCCTATTGTGGTTAAATTTGAATTGTCTTGGCGACTTCTCCATGATGTGGTGGCGTGCTTTATCAATAAATCTCTACTTTAGTGTTGATGACCTTTTATTTTTTTCATTCTTTTCTCTCTCCTTATTGATTTGTGTGCTTGACTCTTTAAACTTTTAAAAAAGTCATTCAATTTGTTTTTTCTTAAGATTTGGTTGTTATTCTTTTAATTATTATTTATTTTACATGAAATAATTTATAAAATTAGAATTTGTTTTCAATTTCATCATCCTTTAATTTTTTTTTCATATTTTGTTCCCATTATTTAGATTGTTATTTTCTTTGTTTGAGATAATTTTTAGAATTGATTTTTTTTTTAGATTTCATTCTCTTTTGATGTTTTTTTCCTAGATTTAATTTGCATTCTTTTATTGCTATTTTTTTTTACATAAAAAAATTATTTTAATTGATTTTTTATTTTATTTTTCAATATTAAATTGGTTGAGAGTTAAATTTCTTACTTGAGTTCAGGTTTAGGATTTCACAAGTTATGAATTTAGAAAATTAACCTAAGTTTAGAAGATTTGTACAAGTTTTCTAAACTTATTTTAAGCTCATTATTTTTTAGTTTTATCATTCAATATTTATTTAATTATAGCTTAGATGTTGCCCTTTCTTTTATTTATTTTTTATTGATTTAAAATATAATCTAGGTTATCTCATCCTTCAATATTAAATTTTTTGGTAATTTAATTTTATAGTTTTATTCAATTTTTTTCAATGTAGTTACTCAGTATCACAACCAAGTCACAAATTTTGCTTGCTGACTCAAGTGGACTCGGGTCGATTTTTTTTATTTTTTATTTTATTATATCTTCACCTTTGATATTTAACTTGCTAGAAATGGATCTTCAAACTTTTTTCATTTTAATTTATATGAGGTTATTATATTTTTATTTAATTTCTCTTCGTTATCGAATGAGATCCTTTAACATTTGTTTTTTTTTTTAATTGATTTTTTTTTCAATTTTATCCATTAATATTTAATTGATTAAGAATTGATCTTCATGTATTTTTTTTTACTTTCTTTTCTATAGGATTATCTCAATTTTATGCTTATAATCGTGGGGTTATCAAATTAATTTAGTTTGACTTAGAGTTTTTTATAGTTTTTTTTTAAATATTTTTTTCAGTTTAGTTCTATAATAATTTTTTTATAATTAAACTTCATAATTTTATTAATTTTTTTTTTGATAGGGTTACCCTAGTATCTCGGCCAAGTCATATATTTTATGTGCTAACCTAGATGAGATTTTTTTATTTTTATTTTGTTGTATTTTTTCACTTTATTTATGATCGTTATATTTTTTTGTTGATATTATTAAACTAATCAAATTTATTAAAATCGACATTCAAGTCTCATATTTATTTTAAGAACGCTAGCATTAGAATTTTTTTTATGTTGGAACATATATATATTTTAAAACCTTCAAATTAAAACCTAATGCCCTTTCTTTTTATTTAAGAGCGAGGAATATTTTTGTGTTAATCAAGATTATTATTATTATTATTATTATTTTCCTGATAATGTTAAGAACACATCTTTTCACAATAAAATGATATATTTAGAAAGAACTTAAGAAACTCATCTTATTTTTATCCTAAGATTTTAACCCAGAAAAAAAAAAATGTGGTTGTTGGAATTAGATCGTCTACCACTTAAAGCACGACTACTTTTGGTGCCTATATTGTTCTGTCCAATCAAACGGTCAATGAATTTGAAGAGAATCCAGCCGTTTCGTTGATTCGGGTATTCCTTTCCCGCGTTTAACAGAGAAATTGTTTTACACTAACGTGGCAAGAACCCAGTGGAGATTCTAGAGAACACTAAAGAGATTTTCCCGGCAAACTAAGAGGACGTGCTTGCTTACAAGCCTTCTTCAATCTACTAATTTTATCTATAAAAATTTAAGCTGATAAACTCAAAATTTATTATAGAGCAATCGACAACAAATCAGGGAGGGAGAAACTCTTAATGACAGATAAAAGCCGAATTTAGGGCATCCAAATTAGGTGAAGAAGTGTCAAAAACAAGTAATGGGGAATATTTAGAGAAGCAAAGAGAAATCATGCCAACCGCTACTTTCATCTCTCTGTCTGTCTGTCTCTCTCACACGCTTTTCCTCCGTTTCCTTATTGGTTTTGTATCATCTCTTCGATTTGGTCACCTCTTCGAAAAATCATGGAAGATGTCCAGCAACCTTCAGCTTCTTTGTGGTACTTTCTTCATATCCTCTACAGCCTTATTTTTCCTGGTTCTAATTGGAGTTTAAGAGTGTTACAGATTGTATAGAGTTACCACATTGTTGTGGATGAATTAGTACCAGAACTTTTGTGTCATTTCGACTGTTATAGATAAGATAATGAAAGAATTTGGTGACGGGAAAAGTTTTTTGTCATTTCGACTGTCATTTTAGGCGCCTTTTGTGTTGTTTTACAGACGATGTCTCGCGATGGTTTTCTTTTAATTTCTTCAGTCAGATGTTACATAATCATATTGTCATAATATCTCACTATCTCCATACTAAATTGTTGGCCTTTTTGTTATCATGAGTTGTTTTAACCTGCTTTGGATCCTTTGGGTTTTCGCGCAATCACTGTTTTGTTCTAATGACACAAACTTGTGTTAGCAGTAATGGTTCCCAGGACACTATTGAAGAAAATCAAGAAAAGAAAGCTGTTCCTGTTGGGCGCAAACGACTAACGAGATCAAGGTTTTCTGACTCGTTTTCATCTCATGGTAAAGTACTTAGTTACTATCTTTTCCTTCGTGTTTGATGCAACTCTGTCGATTTGTTTTCTTATTGTTATTATTTGAAAGCTTCTGTATCAGATAAGAAATCCTTCGCCGTGGAGGCGGAGGAGGAGGAGGAGGAGGAGGAGGAGGAGGAAACGGAGACCAAGGATGGAACGGAAAAGTGCTCTCCAAGAGGAGTTCTAGAAGATTGCTCTGTTGGCGTAGAATCTGAAACTTCTTCCAAGGCAAGCACTTCAAATAGCTATGAATCTGAAGCAACTTCTCCCAGGGCCAGCACTTCAGGCTCAGAAGGGCAACCGAACGCCACCACTCCCTGGCGTGACTTCCTTCGCGTATTTAAAAAGGGACCTGCAGCGAGCTGCCATCCCCTCCCTCCTCTGAAGAAAGATACACCAAAGCTAAGTAAACGGAAAAGCAGAAGCAGAAGATTCAGAGAGGAGATTGTTCCAACTCTAACTTCTCCACTAGATGGTGAATTCTGCCATTTCAAATCTTCTTGGAAGAACTTTTCTCTCTCAGAGCTCCATACTGCAACTGATACTTTTAGCCAAGGTTTATGCTTCTTTCAGAATTTATATTTGTGCTTCGTATCCCTTTTCACCTTCTTTGAGTTGAGATTCAAAAACTTTATTACCGAATTCCGCGGTAAAGTCTGCACCTCCAAATACAATGTACTCTTTGCTATGTTGTAGTATTTGTAGTTGTGGTTGTCTCGATCTCAATATGCTCACGATACCTTGTCTTCTTTCATAAAGAAAATTTAATTGGAGAAGGAGGCTATGCTGAAGTTTACAAAGGGAAATTGGAAGATGGGCAGTTCGTTGCAATTAAACGGCTGACCAGAGGTTCACCAGAAGATATGACTGTCGATTTCTTATCGGAGCTTGGGATTATAGTCCATGTTGACCATCCTAATATTGCCAAAGTGATTGGATATGGGGTTGAAGGGGGGATGCATCTTGTCCTTGAATTATCTGCCAATGGGAGCCTTGCATCTTTACTTTATGGTCTGTTCATTATCCAGATTATTGTGAAGTTCATATCTCCACTAGTTTTTCACCAAAATGATGTATCAATTTGTTTCCTACCAAATGTTGCCAGGCCCCAAGGAAAAGCTGGACTGGCGAATCAGATATAAAATTGCCCTTGGAACTGCTAGTGGCCTTCTGTATCTTCACGAGGAGTGCCAGAGGAGAATCATCCACAAAGATATCAAGGCTTCCAATATATTGCTAACAGAGGATCTTGAGCCCCAGGTTTCCTGAAACTTAACTTCTTACTGCTGTAATATGCAACACCTAAATGATCTCCCCTTAATCTCTGAATTCGGAACTTCAAATTATGTCAGATTTCAGATTTTGGGCTTGCAAAATGGTTACCAGAGGAGTGGTCTCATCACACTCTATCAAAAATTGAAGGCACTTTTGGGTTTGTAATCCAAAACTTGGGCAGGGTCTCTGAATCATCAAGATTTAGCCTTGCAATCTGATCTCATTTCTTATCTTGACAGTTACCTTCCTCCTGAATTCTTCATGCATGGAATAGTGGATGAGAAGACAGATGTTTATGCTTACGGTGTTCTGTTATTAGAGCTCATTACTGGAAGGCAAGCCTTAGATAGTTCACAGCACAGTCTTGTAATGTGGGTATGTATGCTGCTTCTTTCTGATTCTGCGTGATTCAAGTCTCTTATGTTGTATTTCCACCAAGAATTTATGCAGTTTTGACCAATGTTGTTGTCAGGCCAAGCCTTTGCTACTGAATAACAGCATAGAGGAGCTTGTTGATCCAATCCTCGCAGATGCCTATGACTCAGAACAGATGGATCGTCTGGCATGTACAGCTTCTATGTGCATACATCAATCTCCTTCAGAGCGACCTCAAATGAGCCATGTATATTTCTTTACCTAGAAATCCCTCGACAGTTGTTTTTTTTGGTTTTTTAAAAGCTAGATTTCTCTGCAGGTTGTAAGGGTTTTGCAAGGAGATGAAAGCAGTTTTGAAGAATTAAAGCAACGACAAAGGACACCCTCGATTGAAGACCTCTACGATGCAGATGAAAACGATTCGACAGAGTATCTGAGAGATCTCAATCAACAGATGGAGGTGGTTTTGAGCAACTGTAATGAAAAGTTCGAAGAACACGGGCGATCAACTGAGTGCCTTGATGATCCGAATCAACAGGAGGAGGGAGTGGCTGTTCAGAGCCGTTCTGGGATCTAAACCATATCTTTTTCTCTTCACAGGGTGTTGACCCCAGGATGTCATTGCTCTCCTGAATCTTTATTCTGACAGGACTCACCATTGGATCCAAAAGAGCTTGGAAAAGCAGAAAAATATGAAAGCCAGGAAAGCAACTGTTGAGACCATGTAAACATGTTTCTGTCCTGGTAATGCTTGCTTGCTTCATGTATCATTACAATTCTCTGTCATCGGTAGTTCTTACTAGCTGTGATCTCCGCGCTACACTGTAGGCATCAAGTGTTGATTGTGCATTTGTGTAATATCTTTTTTGCTATGAAATGAAAGGTAAGTTCGCGTGTAAAGTGTTTGATCTAAACATGATCGAAGAGCACCGCCAGTACAGGTATAGTGATTAATGCGGAGCTATCATAAAAAGAAAGAAGAAGAAAATTTACATGAAAAAGAAATGAGCATTGCCCTTTCTCCTTCGCTTTTGACGCCAAAATCCTCTTGCACTGCTGCTCAAATGACTGTAAGAAATTTTCTCGTCTCTCTAACCAGGTTGAATTCATGATAGGAATCTTTATACGCTGTTTTCATGATGCATCACCAAGTAATTATAGTAGAGAAAATAAAATATATAAATAAGAAATTAATAAAAATATAATATGAAATAAAACTTGGATATTATAATTTTTTTTATAATATTTAATTAAATTTAATATATTAAGATAAAAAAATTTCACTAATAATATTTAATATATTTTAAATAAATATAATATAAAAATATATATGATAAACATATATATGGATTTCTCATAATGTTTATTTTCTTCTTTTTTTTGTGTTTTTTGCAAACAAGCCCAAAAAATTTTAAAAAACTTGAAGGATTATTTTAAAATTATTTGTTAGAAAAAAATGTGAGGAATTAGTTATAGACTTTATTATTTGAGGATATAAAATTACACTGTAAAATATATCATTAGATATTAAAGATATAAAATAGAAATAAATACGATGTTAAAATTTTAATCCTATAATAAATGGATTTTCTCCCTATAAAACAAAAATTTTCTCATGAAAAAAAAATTACTTGATTTTTTAACAAAGGATGATGTTCGTATAACCTGCCCCAAACCTATAATATTTATATAATATATATTATCATGCAATTTAATAAGCAAGAGAATGATCCTCGCTTAGAACTCCTGCTATCCACACTATTAAGATGTCGAGTTCCACTCCAAACTCTTCTTCTACATACCGATAGAAGATGCAAAATTAATATCCAAGTATTTTTTTATCTATTTATTATATTTATTAATTCACATAATTAAATATTTTTATAAATAATTTCATGAATATATTATTTTTATTTATCATTTTAATTCTTTTACAGTATCCCATATTTTTACTATAACACTTAATATCTAAACATTTTATTATTCATTTTCATCGATGAATTTTCATGTGCAACTAACTTAATTTTTTCCTTCAAAGAAATTAATGTCCAAATAACTTTTTTTTCTTCAATAAATTTTATTCTTTAACATTTAATTTAAAATATCTTAAAATTGGTATTCGAACATACCCAATTCCCATAAATACATCAACAAACACTTGCACATTCAAAATAACAAGTAGACATTTGATTTAAACTATCTTATAATTGGTATTTAAACATACCCAATCTCCATAAATATATTAACAACCATTTACACATTTAAAATAACTACCATAAACACCATATATGAAACCCAAACAAGAACATCATCATCACACCATATACACAATAATTCCAACTTAACATCAACATGTTTAGTATCTAGGACAAAGCAAATTAATTAGATTATCATGATTAACTTCTCAAATTTTCTAAAATTCTATAAAAATAGCAATTTAAGCAATTTGAACAATATTCACAATTTGTTATAAATTCCTTAACATAAACTTAGACATATTTCTTCTAATCATGAAACATAATACACATTTCATTTAACGATTTCAACATTAAGGTTTTCAAACTTCATTCCGACACCTTCCAAACATATATCACAATATATCAAGAATTCATTTAACCAAGAAGTCTATTTCATCTACAATTTATAATGCCTTCATATTACACCATAAACATTCAATTTCACAAATTCATTTAAACTTCAGGTCTATAACTTTCCTCCAAACACTCACACCACATATAATCCACATATCCAACAAAAAATCTTTCTTAAATTCATACACATCAAGTTAACATATAATTTTACAATATTTCACCTAATTCTTCCAAAACACTTCCAAAATAATTTCATACATTCTAACTCAATTTCACAACAACACTTGCCATGTTTGCCCTTTCATTTCCTACACAAAACACAAATTTTCATAGCTTCATCAATATCTTTTTGAAAGTATACTAATTTCTATACTACAAATACCAAAATATCACACGCAATCCAATTCAACAAATTCTTATACAATTTAAACAAATTTCTAAACTTCCATGCATGTAATTCATACACCCAAACAAAACTCTACCTTACTAACCATATCTTAGGCTTTCATATTTCTTTTTTTAATTTCTCTGCAACACCAATCCAACATGAAAATCATACATCATACCAAAACATCACACACATGCCACATCAAATTTTAACCATCATTTATACCCTATATTACACCCATTTCATGTCAAATTACATAATTAATAACTATTTCTCTTTTTTTGTAATTAGTTTCAACAACCCTAAATTTAACAATTTAGGGCTTTTTTATTTTTACACCATTAAATTCGTTAAACTAGAAAATAAGTAGAAAACAATATATTACCAATAGATTTCAAAATCAATTTAATAAGCTCCTCACCATACCTCCAAGGATTTTGCTCCTCCTCTTTTCAAAACCCAAACTCCCCCTTCACCTTAAGCATTTTCCCTCTCTAACTTATCTCCTCCTAACCCATTTTTCTTTGGTGTTTCTTCCTTGATGAGTTTTCTTAGTAAAAATCATCCTCACACATTTTATGACCCATGTTGTTGGAAGAATAAGCACCCATTTTCAAGACAACATGAGAAAAAAAAAATGTAACTCTTCCTTTTTTAAAGAGCTCTTGGCTAGAACAATATTAAAAAAGAAGGATTTGGCCAAAATTATGATGATGTCATTAATGAGTCTATATGTTGTCCTTTTGTTCAATTATCATCAATCTCCCAAGGCTTTCTCGTAGGGCTTTCCTGAGCTCTAACTATACTGAAATTTTAATCCAATATAAAAAATTATTTTCTGAGATTCCATGTAAAATTTTAGATTGATCCAACAGTTGGATTAAGAGATTTTTTTGATATCACAAAACTAGATAATATATGATTTTTATGCCAAAATTTGAATTAGTGTATTAAATCAAACATTAATTTATTTAAATTTCTCTTCTATTTTTCTAAATATTTTCACCCTAATTTTACAAAAATTCTTTCTTTAAAATAATTATTTTACCCAATTGAAAATTTTACATGATTTATCACTAGTTAACATTTCACATATCAATTTTTGTTGCTTTATTTCATCTGAATTAAAATTAAATTACTAAGACTTTTTATCCACATTTATAATAATTTTCGTTCTACATTAGCATATCTCAATTGAAAATTATCACAACTAGCATTGGTTCACCAATATTACAGAGAGCGATGTAGCCAAATGAGGTTAATTTAGAGCTTATAATTTGTTTATCACCATTATGTACGTATGTAAAAAGGACAAAAAAATAATTCTAAGGGGTATAGCTCAACTACTCAGGCCTTAGGTTTACTTTCTAGAGGTCACCAATTCGAGTCCCACCAACCTCAAGGTTGTTTGAGATTTACACAGTCATTAACTTCAAGGTTTATGATATTAGTCGAGGTATGTACAAACTGGCAAGATATCCATGTTAATAAAAAAAGAAAAAAATAATATAATATTATTATTATGGCTAAAATTAATAAAATATCACATGAAATGGAAAATAAAGACCTGTAATGTTTAAAATTAGTTAAAAACCAAATTCTAAATAAGAAAGGAGTAAGAAAGGAACCTGAAAGAGAAGATTCTGTTTGGTATTGTAGTTGCTTTTGTGGTAGTGGTTTAAAAAAAACAGTTTAATAAAAAGTGCTTTTTGTGAGGTTTGTTTTAAAGTTTGATGTGTTTGGTTGAAACTGTGGTTGAAATTTAGGTTCAAAAAAAGCAGTTTCTTGTGTTTAGTTAATATGCTTCTTCTTTTTTTATGAGGTTTGATTGTGTGTGTGTGTATGTGTGTGTGTGTGTGTATAATGGCAAAACATTGTTGTTTTATAATTATGATTACAAAACAAAATAAATAATCCTTATACATTAATAAAAGTTTTTCATTGTCCTATCAAACTATTTGCAATTCTATCATGTACAAAATCCATACATTAAGGTCTTTGTGATCCTTGAATAGCTAAGCGAGATACAATATCAAGTAAAAAGTCATCTGGAATGAAATTGAGATTGCAATCATACTAAAAAAAAAAAAACCCTTGTCATCTTGTGATCCCCTTCTAATATATTTATGTAGTGCTATTAATGTAACTACAATCTCAACTTGCATTTTATATAGATAAACAGACATATTTTGTAAAATTTTCCACCTCTGTTTCCATACCCACAAGAACTTTCTATCACATTTCGTAGTGATGAGTGTGCATGGTTAAACAATTTTTCTAGACCACTTGGTTGTCCACGACTTCTAAATTCTTGTAAGTGATACATCTCATATTTATAGGGACCCAAATACCCATACTCATTAAGATATCAAGCATCAACCAAATGGTATTTCCCTGCAAATAAGAACAACATGCTAATTTTTTACAAAACTATATATAAAAAAATTATATGCCTTCATCTACCAAGTCTTTAATTTATTTCAAATCACAACCTTTTGGTGGTTTTAAAAATTTTATATTGCTATTATTAATAGCCTTAAGAAAAATATGCATGTCGAGTGCACTGCCTTCTCATCTTACCCATATAAATATGAATTACATGTCAAAACTACAAGCGGCTATGACATTTTGTGTTGGTAGACCTTTTCTTCCAATAAATAAAATTTGATTATCAGATGATATGCAAGTACGAACATGTGTACCATCAATTGCACCAACACAATTCTACAGGAAAACAAAATGAAGTAATCATAATCATTAATAAAATATTTCATATTCATTTAAACAACTTAGTTAAAAAAAAATTCGTCTTACCTTAAAATGTAGCATATATCTTAGATTCATTGCAATTTCTCTTAGTGTGCTTGTAAATTGAGGATCAATTGGTTTTATGACTTCTACAGAAAACAAACAT